TAGTCTGTCCCCTATTCGTCAACCCGGTTACAAAGACAGGAGGAAAAAGAAAGAGATTGGACTTGAGCTTATCTATCAAAAATCATCTTTCTGAGTTTATATGGCTTCAGATTTTTTCATAACGTTTACCAATCGGTCATACATCTACCAAGCTATGGCCACACTCTAAAGGTCTTTCCCCACTTTTTTCTCCCTAACAACTATCATATCCGTACGTGTGGGAGATATCCTGTAAACAACGAAAAAAAGTTCTTTCCTCCGTATACGTCCGTGTATACGTATGTGTGTAATTCATTAAGATGAGTAATTAAAAATAATTAGCAGGAGTGAATATAGAATTGCAATGAATTTAATTGACTTTCTGGCGCTTCATGGCCCAGATGCTGATCAATTCGAATTATTTCATTATAGGGTAAGTATTAGCTTTTAATGGGGTTTATTTGCAGTTAGCATTTTAAGATCGTACGAGTGATTGATGAATTTAATAGATGGTCGGAGGGGAAAGGAGAAAACATCCATTAATTGAGATGACCTTTCCGTCTAACGCACCTTTGCAATGGGATAAGGTACAAAACTTCTTCTTCTTGCAATCTTCACAAATGTGAGAATTCGTAAAATAGACAGAAGAAACAGCGAATAGGTCTAGTTCAACATCTCTTGCAGAGAGTTTGTTTTGTTTTATCTTATCGACCACTTAACGGACATCGACTATATGTGTGACGCTGTGACGGCCAGAAAGATATCGGGAGAAAAAAGTAGGCGTTTCTTTTCTTTCTCAATCACGCAGAAGAGTTCGCTTATCCGCGTGATACGGTGACAGTCAGAAAGAAGTGAAGAAAGAGAAATAATTAGTGAATAGAATAACGGTGACAGTCAGAAAGAAGTGAAGAAAGAGAAATAATTAGTGAGATGATGGCTAAAGAGATTTGTGACTAACCGTAAGCGTTATGCCGTTACGTAGAGAGCACTCAGTACAGACGATCTACCACTCCCAGAATTAAGCCCCGATATGCCAACTTCACGATAACATAGATGCTGTACGATTTAAAAAGCATGTCGCATGCTTTTAAAAGTTTATCGTACGTTTACGTCGTTTTTCGATTTTTTACTTCTTTTTATATCGTTTTTATATCGTATTATTGCCGTAATTTTTTTCTTCGTTTTTTTTTAAGGTTATGTCATATACTTGTTCTAATTTTCTTTTTTACTTCCATTGAGGTTATGTCATAATCTCTTCTTTTCTGGTTATTGCTTTTTTTAGAGTAATGTTTGTACAATTTTTTTATTTTTTTGCTGCTTTTAATCAGCATTGCTATGATAATTCTGACTTGTTTTATCTTGTCACAAGTCAGATAAATCTCGGTGAAGATAACTTTCATCCTACACAAGAACGGAAAGAATATTCTCATGAGTATTATGCTGATATGCTGTCGATTCTATACTTTTCAACTATTTGTAACCTCAAGGTGCAAGCGTTCTCAAATGAAACAACTTTTCAGGATAAAAAGGAACACTTGCTACATAAATTTTTTATATTAAAAAAAAAAAGAAAAAATAACAAATAAATGGCCTTTCTTTTAAAAATTTTTAAATAGACACCAAAAAAGCAACTGTTGGTTCTTAAATGTTAAACCAGTGAATTTTTTTAGTACATATAACTGAAGACAGAAGAACCACGCCAGCATGCCAAAACAAAGCACACTACGTTAGCTAAGGGATACAATGCGAGTCGTAAAAAGATGATAAGCAGCAAGACGAATAGTTGTTACATATGTTGCGCACCAGGGTTGGTATTCAGGTAACGCGTACTGAACTTGCACAGGTAAGAAATGTGTGTGTGTACGACAATACGCGATCATGAGATATCTACTATAGATTACTAGAGAAATAAAATGCATTACAACATTTTCTACGTCCAGCCAAGTAAGCACCCCTGCGAGAGCAATCGTTATTCCGTTATGTCCACACTTACGCTAAGAAAATAGACAACAATGTGCTTTTCATTGCTTTGTTTTCGAAAATCTTCCTACCAAAATTTGTACATTATAAATCAATAGATTCCAAAGAAGTTTGTTCTTTGGTTCCATTATGAACATCATTATCCCGTGCTCGTCTTCTTTTGCTGCGTAAAATTTCCCCACATTCTGAAGGAATTTTATGTTGCAGGCTTTGAATTCTTCTACATCGTCCTAAACATGTTCTCAATAACCGTCAACACAACCATTCCCATCGTACTCCTTATTATCGCAGAGAGGTACAAAGACTTGAATAAAAGACCTTTAACTGTTTCTTTATCAGAGTGACATCACTGGTCGGTGAGCCCTTTATTTACATTTATATAGTGATATTTTGACCATAGACCCTAAGACGATTTCTTTCAAGATGATTCACGAAGGGAGATTCACTCACTTTCAGGTTAACGGAGTGCTTACTTTTATACCCTACACCCCAAGGGTATATTAAATTGGCGCGAATGTATGCAATACACAAAAGGACGGAATCAGTTTCTGATTCGGTCTAACCTTGTTTGTCTTTCTATCCGCCTTATTTTCTTGTTTTCAGTATATCTGTCTGATCTATTGATGAAGTTTGATACACTGAAGTGGTTTGAGTCCAGGATGAACGCTATTAAAAATGGTTCAGATCGGACAACTTTTGCGACCACTTCCCATATGACGGCTCATTTTGAACAACTGTTAAGAGTATTTGATGGTAAGTCGTGTCCCACTATAGTATTTTTACTTGTTTCAATTTATCTTATTTACGACAAGAATTCAAATCCTATCAAATAAAAGCCGAGCACTTCTAATTATTTACGGAAAAAAACATCCAAGGTTCAATTTCGAATCTGTGCTAGTATGTAGTCGATCTAAATCTTCTCGACGGTAACCGTATTGTCTGATGAATTATCCCATTCGGTGCATAATCAACTTCCCTGATTACACCAAACATCACAGGCACAGGGTATATTAAGTTAGTGCGGACGTATGTAACACGCAAAAGGGTTTAAGACAGACCGATCTTTTATTATACCAATTGATTCAAAATCGTAATTTGAATTGATCTAAGCCCGTCTGTCCGCGTGATGTCTGGTTTATGTAAATTTGTGTTCCAACTACATTTCGCGATGCTTGAAATATTTTGATGAAATTCGTTACTGACCTATTTTGACCCAAGGACGAAAGCTATCGAAATGATTTGGTTCGATATAACGATTTTTCAGAACAGAAAAAAATTATAATTTTCAAAATTTCTCAAAAATGACAAAGTAGTAGTATTTCGGCATTCCAAATTGGTATGAAAACTTTTCACCGACTGGGCAATTTTTAAATCCCCTCTCATATAATGATAACTGAAGTTCATGCGACAAAATGCTATAATTTTCAATGCTTCATGATGAAAATTATGTTATAGTATTTCACCATCTGTGCCAACTTTTTGCATCCTACACTATTAAGAATTTTTACGAAAATTGATTCTTTGTAGAGCAGAAAAGTGTGAGCTTTGATATGTGGTGATGAAAGTTGATGCATAATAGTAATTTCATACAAAAAAGAACTCTACAAAATTTGGGCCATTTACGTCTATTTTTGGATCGTGCGCTATATAAGGATTAAACTTGTACTACGCTAGATTAGCTAGATTAGTAGATATAATTTTTGTGTGCTATAATAAAAATAAGAATTGTATTAGACAACGCGATATAGATGTATATGTGTGTCAGCCTCGCCCGACTAATAATGTTCCTCCTTGTTCTTTTTTTCTCATAAAATTCGCGCTCGCAATGGGACTTGTATCATTTACGTACATGGTATAGATCACCGTGACCGTCTGACGATTTTTTGCTAATTCATCACTTTCTCACTCATAGTTGGAATGCTCACGGAAGCAAAAATTATGTTAGGAAACTAAAGCTACAAAACGAGTTGGAAAATCAGCGTGCAGATAGAACCTAAACGTGTCGATATGAAATTTGGTACGGAACGTTTTGGAGTCAAATAAGAGATCAATGCAGAAATCAACGCGATTGACTTTCGGAAATTATATGTGTTCGCTATAAGTGACGGTTGGCAAAGAGTGGCCTTGACATATGAAAATAACGTTTTCTATTTGTTCACTTTGAAATTGTTAATGTTATAATATTATTACATTAATATTGTAAATTTTAACATGAGTAGTTTTTTTCTCTTCCGTTACATTATGTTTACGTTGAGACGGAAAATACCGATTTTTGCAAATTTTCAAAGCTAAGCAAATGTGTTCAATAAGCATATATGTGAGCAATAATTGCTGCATAAATGTGGTTTGCGCGAAAACCTTGAACTTGACTACTTCTTTACATTTACAACTCGACTATGTGCACAAAATCCTGTTAACAATTAGTTTAAAGATTATATTAACGCTCTGGGAAGAACTCCCAGCCAATCTCTCTTGAATGTTTAAAACATATAAATTCACACAGATTATTTGCAACACTAGTCCCTTTAAATTGACCGATAGTCAAATGTTGACGAATACAAAGCTAGTCTTAAAAGCCACGCAGAAAATATATCGCAAGATTTGTTTTTGCAAAGTCCTAAAACAAAAAATAATAATAATAATATTAATAATAATAAAAAGATGTAACATCCAGTCACTTAACCCCATTTGCATGGCGAAAAAAAAAAAGTATATATATATATAAATAATCGCCTCGCCGCATATAAATACACATGTAAGAGAAACCAGAACCTTTTACCAGACCAGACAAACAAAATAATCGCAATAAGAAATAGAAAGAGAGAACATGTGCTTTAAATTTTACTCCGGTTTTCACAAGAAGAGAACAATTTTCCCTATCCACATAGTTTTCCCCGAGTAATATGATATTTTAAAATAAGAATTTCAAAACATATGTTTTATTCAATTACGGTTGGAAAGTAAAGCAAAACGGGTTAAAGAACCCATAAGAAGAAAAAAATGAGCGAAAAAAAGAGAGTAAAAAAGGTAAAAAAACTTACCGATTTTGCTTGCCGACTGACCCATGATTTTTCTTAAAACTAAAATTATGTTCCTTAACTTATTAACTAATTTGACACATTGACATAATTACAATACTTTAGCACTATATTTGTACACAATTTTTTCAGTAAATTATAGGAATTTTATTTGAAACATTTACGCGAAACAAATTTCTTTTCTGCATTTCACATTACTTGCAGGAGCATTGCTTTACATTGAAACGCATGCACAAAAATCTCAGCAGAGAAACTAATAAGAAAATTGTTGCCATCGTTGAATAATCCAATTGTATCCTACTAATAGACAGAATTTATCGTATATCGTAAGACAAAGCTAAAAGTCAGCTTTCGCCAAGCCAAAGCAACATTTTTTATATGTAATTACCCTTCTAATCCGCCAGTATATTCAGTATACGAGATAAAATGTCTCATAGTAGGTTCCATCAGGAATAGTTGTTTTCATTTTCCATTTCTTCTATTCTTTTTCTTTTGTTTTGATCAGGTAAGAACTTTTTTTGATGATAAAATCAATATAAAATAAAAATCAATGATGTATTCCTACATTTTAGATAACAGTTTCTTATTTTATTTTCTCTCAATGCACTCTTTACCTTTAAGAAATCAAAATATCGTGAAAACGGCAACCCGGTTATATGAACATTATCAAAGAAGGCCTAGCGCGTCAAAACTTTATATTTGAAAAGAAAAAAATAGAAAAGTTATTAACGCCGATTAATAAGTCAGTCTCCAATTGAAAATTTCTAAAGTACATAGAAAACTTTGCCAAAGAAAAAATTTTGGAAAAAAATATTGAATGGAATGAAAAGTTTTCTTAAAAAAAAATGATCCACAAAAAAATTGTTGAAAAAAAATGAATGTAAAAAAATTTTGAAAGCGAAATTAATAGCATATTTGTCCCCTGCGTTTATTTTGTGCGCTTTCCAAAAAGGATCTTAAAAAACGAACAGTGCATCATTAAAAAGAAAACAATTTAAAAAAAAATAAATTTTTTTATACTATATTGGAATTAGCGGAAAACATGGATAATGTACGAGATTGGAAAAATATATTATTGCAGTGGGTAAGAAATCAACGCATAGAACATGCGATTATATTCAATTATTGCTCATCCATGTTATTTCTTCTTAGATTTCGGAATGTGGGTTTATCGAACTTAACGTCTTCAATTTAGAACAAACCGACATTGACGCGTTCTATATTAACGTTAGGGAGAAGCATCATAAAATTGCCTCAAGCAATCACTTAAACCTATTAGACTTTCTACAACGTAGGTTACTTGGCAAAGGCTTTTGAAAATGTTTTCTCTAAAAAAATTCTCTAATTTTAACTTCTCTATAGAATTTTATCCTGAATTTGAAGCGCATTGTGACGATGATAACATTTTAAGCTCTGCAGACTATATTTATGTGTATACGTTATTGTTGCATTTCTCATGCGTAAAATATCCGCAAAAATTTTTTCATAATATCTGTCAAAAATTGCCAATGAGCTCACAACAAATCATGGGTTTGCTTTTTATCACACTGTTGGATTTGGAAAAATTAAATAAGGACAATTTACGCCACGTAATTGCCAAGGCCATGATCAAGACACCATCGATCAGCAGAAGTAACAGTGACCCCGTGATCACTAATAATGAAACCGATAGTCCGATGAGAAACATTGGTTCCCGACGCAACTCACCACTTACACCGGGAACCAATCTTCTGGAGGAACAGACACGTGAATTATTTGATTTAAGAGTAAATTATAAGAAAATTGAACAGTTTCTTGAAATATTACGTTAATAACTTTCCTTACCTTAGGCCCAACTGGAAACTGAACGTTATGAAAAAGATCTTTTAGAAATTCAGATTAAACAAAACGAAAATAAAATTCTCAGACTGAGTATGAGAAGGCTTTCCTTATTAAAAGAGTAAAAAAGAATAAGTTAATTGAGCGACATTTTCCCTTGATTTCAGATGAAGATCATAAAAACCTGATACAAGAAATAAAAGAATTGAAAATTGATGTCCATAAAAAAAGCACTGAGAATGAATTATCGGTCATTTATGAAGGCAACGAGGACGAACAGGTTGGTATTTAACAATGAATTGAAATTTTTCATAAATTTCACAAAATCCATGCCTATATAATTATTGTTTGTTTATTTTAGGCCTATAAGCGTTTTATTAAAGAAATATCGCAAAAAGATGATGAAATTATGAAGTTAAGTGAGACAGTACGAGCCGCACAAGACGATAAAATTCTTGCGAAAGAAAAGGTAATCAGAGAAAATTTTAACCAGTAGTATAAACTCTCTGCTTGCTTTCTTTTCGATTACAGTTTAGCTACATTGAAAAACAAATAGAAGTTTACTGTAAACGCATTGAACTTTTCGAACATAAAATGACCGATCTTAATGAAGAGCTTGAGGTAAATATGCTTGTTGTATGCGGTAATATATTAAAATGAAAATATTTCCTTCTTTTACCATACACCACTTGTTATACGAGGTATATTATAATTTACGCGCACGTAAGTATCATCCAAAGAAGCTTAAGATAAATCCATCTTTTATTGTATCGATCGTTCACGTCTGATGTCTGTCCGTGCAATTTTGTGTGTTGAAGCTACAAGTGACAGGTTTTGATGGGGTTTGGTGCGCTGACTTGCTTTGACCGATATTGCTATTGAAGCTTGTTCGGTTCAGTCCCCTTTTTCAATCACATATCGCCTTCTTTTCAAAAGTCGTTGTATGAAAAAAGATTATAATGTTCAAAATGTCGCGAAATAAGTCGCTAAGTGATAGTATTTCGATATTCTAATTAATTGGTGATTGGATCAGAGAGGTATATTTTTTAAACACTTGATAACGGGTTATCACAAGAAGCAAGCCCTTAAATGCGAAGAAATGAAGTTCGGACGTATGCCTTGGAATGAAAACTGTACTAGCCTAGTTGGTGTAGGGTATTGAACGTTCGGCCTTGCCCGACTATAACTTGTTTTTATATAAAATGTTACCTTATTAAATGAAATTGATTTTTTTTTTTTTTAGAAAAGAGATAAGACGATTAAGTACCTTACCGACGTCAAAGTGGAATTGGAAGAATACATTACCGAGACACGTTTAGCGGGGTTAAATGCTTCTATTGAATCTATTTCATCAATTTCATGCATTTCTGAAGTTTCTAGTGAGCTCACGCTCATACCTAGCGAATCGGAAAATTTGGCCGTTTCTGTTATCGACAAACAATTGCGTGAAAAAGAACAAGAAAATATTCGAATCCGCGACGAACTAAATACATTGAATGACAATAATAAATTATTGTGCGAACGTATACAAGAGCTAATGAAATTGGAAATGAGTGAATTCCAACTAACATTCAATGAATCTGTTTCTGAAATGGATATATCGACGAACTGTGATCCCTATGCTCAATTTAATGTGTTCGCTAAATGCATGGAGAAAATTAATGACCACCATTATGTTGAGAAGAACATGATCACAAAACTTGCACATGAAATTGAAGAATTGCTAAAGAAGAATTTGAAATTGGATTCAATGCGCGAGAGTACAACCTTACTACAGAACAATCTAAACACCATGGAACGTAACAATAAAGATTTGGAGGAAACAAAAGAACGTTTACAAAGCATGTTATGTAATAATGAGTTAGAGCTCAAGGATTTGAAAAAGCAATTGGAAGTTGAAAAATGCGGCAAAGAAAATTCGAACGAAGAAGTAAATGCTTTAAAAGTAAAATTGCATCAGATGGAAAAAACAAATGCGGAATTAACGAGCAGTAACGTTCAGTTGGAAGCGCAAATAATGGACATGCAAAATCAATTACAAGCTATGCAAAAAAAATGGATAATGCAGACCAATCGTTTAGAAGAACAAATTAAGCTATACGACGATCATAGCAAAGAGTTGCAATTATTTCAGGATGAAAACCTGTCTTTAAAAAATGACTGCGAACAGGCATTAATACGTAACGAGAATTTAAAAGACAATTGCCGTGAAACAATACGCAATGAAATCATATCGGAATTTGGTATGGAAGTAACCAATTTGAAAAAGAAGAATGCCTATTTAGAGTCACGTATCGATATTTTAATGAAAGAACATAAGGAAGAGAAGCAACAATTCCAGAAGGACGAAACTGTAGGACGGGAACGCATTATAGAATTGGATAATGAAATTTTTAGAATGAATGAGGAACTCACCCACTTTCATATCCTTTTCGAAAGTAGCGATTTGGAAGTTAATCATTTGAATGAAACTTTGGGACAAATGGAACGAGGAATTATTGCATTAATCAAATTATGCTCTGGTAACTGTACGATAAATAACTCGGCCAATATTTTGAAGGAACTGGAATATCATATTAAATTACTAACACACCAGAATACTGTAGCGGTAGATAGATTAGAAACATTGGAGATCACTCAACAGGAAAGTAATACAAATTTCAATGATTTGCTGAAACAAGCTCAAGAACAAGAACGTATACTTAATCAGCGTTGCATTAATACCACTGAAGACTTACTCAATTTAAAAGAGCAAAACAATGAATACGAAGAGAAAATTGAAAAATTAAAGGATAAACAAAATCAATTCATTGAGCAAATTAAGAGTGATTTGATGAAAAAAGAATGCGAATTACGTCAACAGTTGAAGGATGCGAAACTGGAATATGAACAATCTCTGAACGATTTAAATAGGGAATTGAAAATGGAAAAGGAACGCAATAATAACAAGGAAAAAGAGTTATTGTTATTGAAAGCCGAACATGATGAACTGAAAAGTAGGTTAAACGAGGCCGAAAAAGAGATGCACACATTGCACAAGTTCAACTGCGCAACCAACATTAATTATGAACGCTTGCACGCTTTCGAGGTACGCGTCATGGAATTCTCCGATGACAATGATAGATTTAAACGAGAAATTCAAACTCTTAAACAGGAATTGTCTAAGACGGCACAATATATAATAGATGGCGATCAAATTATATGCAAACTAAAGAAAGAAGTTAAAAATTGCGATAGCTTGAAAAAGCAAGTCAACGATTTGCAAGGCTCTTTAAGTCAAAGTATTGAGGCGAAGGAAATGCTCAAGCATGAATTAGAAAAAAAAGATAAACAAATTGTAGAACTACGGGAAAGTTTGAATGAGCAAAGTCAGACCCTTAATACTTTTAATGATACACTAATTGAAATGACCAAAGAAAAAGAGCGATTATTAAAAGAATCAAACGCCTTTGCATCGCGAATACAGCGAGAACAAGAAGAAAAGAGTCTTTTGTTATCATCTCTAGAGAAGTCGACAAATCGAATGCGAAGTGAAATTCAAAGGGAAGAGAGCAACAGTGAAAATTTGAGAAGGCATAACAATGAAATCAAATTGCAACTAGAATCGCTACAACAACAAAATGAGAAGCTTCAGAATGAGTTATCTGAACGCAAAGCCGATTTTAAAGCGCTGCTTGAAGAGCAAGAACAAATTAAAGAGGATTTCCAAGAGAAACGTACAACATTGATGAATAGATTGGCGGAAAGTTGTGACGAATTGGCCAACTATCATATGTCGTTTGCGGAACTCGTGGTAACAATAGAGAACAATGTCAATCTGAGCATCCAAATGAATGAATTTAGAAATATTTTCAATCCTTGCGACGGCTCCGCAGACAGTAACAGTATTAATCAGTTACGTCAATGGATTAATCGTTTGTTTCACATTGAAAATCTACAGCAAAGCAGAATAGAACAACTATTGGAGAATGAAAAGCAAAACTTAAATACAAACGAGGAATTAATTAAAGAAAATCACGAATTGAAATTCAAAATCGAGCAAAATCAAAAAGAGATTGATGACGTGCATAAAGAAATGGAGAATACATACTCAATGATGCAAAAGCGGATTACAAATGAAGTCAAAAAAATGGAAGAGGATATATTAAATCTAGTAATAATGAACGAGCATATAACCGACGAGAAAGCAGCGCTGCAAAGTCATATTAATCAGCAGGCGGAAGCATGCCAGAGCGCAAATATGAAACTTGACGAGGTCACGGCATATAATCAAGAGTTAACGCTACAGTTGGAGAAAATGAAGGAGGAAATGGAGAAATTGCAAGTGAACTATGTGCCTGAACAGCAATACAACAATTTGGAAATGGAATATAAGAACTTACAGGAAAAATGCAAAAATCAGCAAACACATTTGCATACACTAGAGGCCGAATTATCTAATAAGAGTAAAAAAATATCGAATTTTGAAACGACTATATTTGACATGGGGATCTTGTGCAAAGATTTGGAGAAGAAAATTGCTTTTACCACTAAAAAACTGGATGAAACGGACAACGATAAATTGAATGCCCAATTGAAATGCGAACAATTCCGTTCGGAGTGCGAACGATATGAAAAAGATATTGAACATCTTAAGTTGCAACAAGAAAATATCACAAATGAGAATAATCGTGTATGCAGTAATATCTCCGCCGAAAAAGACATATTAAGAAATGAAATTGAAGAGCATAAAGCGAATTTATTGCGGGCAAATGAAAGGGCCTCGCAAAAAATTGCATCGATAAGCATGGAAAAAGAGAGCGCTTGCGAAGAAAATCTATCGCTGCGCAAGCAATTGGTAGAGATGAGCAAACATCAAACTAATACGGAAATGAAATTAAGCTCTTTAATTGAACGCAGTCAATCCTGGGAGCAACATTTTCACGCCAGCGAAACTGAGCTAGGAAGTATGAAAAAATATTTAGAAAAGTCCAAGGCAAATATCGAAAGATTAAAGAATGAAAATAAAAAGCTTCGCGAATCGCAACAGGTAACGTTAAGACGGGCTGAGAAGACGGCCCTGAAACTGGGCGATGCTCAGGCACGCGCTCTTAAACTCGAAAGAGAGAGCGAAACGTGGGTCGAGAGATTTCGAGGTTGTCGAAAGGAGAAAGATATGATGGATGTTAAACTTGTACAATTCAAACTGCGTGTCGCAGAAGTCGAAAAAAGCCACGAACAGCTGCTTGCTAAAATAGAAAATCTTGAGCGTTTAAATCAAACGTTACAGGATGCTAGACAAAAATTAGAAGCTTGCGAAATAGATGATAAAGCCAAGATAAACAAGCTTGAAAAAGTACGTGAAACGAAGGAAGCTAAAATACGACAACTCACCGCTGCACTGAATAGTGGCGAACAAGCGAATGTCAAACTTAATTTGGAAATCGGTGCCTTAAACTCGCAATTGCAAGAGCTTAAGTTAGATCTTTCTGCGAATTATAACGCGCAAATTGAGGAAATGAAGCTGCGTCTGGCTTCGGCCCAAGAGCAGGCCCAGAAATATGCAGAAGTCAATCAAAATTCGATCATTCAAATTAACGAACTTGAAGGTCAAAACGCGAAAACTAACGAAGAATTGTCAAAAGTCTCATTGGCAATGCGCATCAGCGAGGAACGTTACGCTGCATTGTCCGGCGAAATGGAAGAAATGCGAGCTAATATGCTGGCGTTGCGAAATGATAGGACGAACGCAGAACAAGAACAGGAAATTTTAAAGCAAAGTTTAAAGGAGATGCATGTGGAAAACCAGGAATTAATCTGTGAACGTGACAGTTTCGCCGAAGGTTTGCAAAAATTCTCTGCTCTAATGGGTGAGAAAATGAAGCAAAAAACCAATAAAATAGAAAATCTGGAATGTGAGATAAAAGAATTGAGAGAAAAAGCAGAAATGCAAAATTTGGAATTAATAGAAGGGAGAAAGATTGCAGCGAAAAATGTAATCGAATTGGCTGAGTTGCGTACCCACCTCGCCAAAATGGAAGAGACACTCAAAAGTGAGCAACAATCAAATGAACGATTGCGTTCCGACAACCAACTGCTGGACAGTCAGTATCAAGAAGTGAAAAAGCACGCTGCTGAAGTGGAAGCCAACAATGAAGAACTTATTAAAAAGAATATTTTAGAATTGGAGGTCAGTAGCTATTCCTCCCCTTCCTCCTTCCCCTTCTCCTCCTCGCACTCCTCTATTTCAATTTATATTAGTTGTTGTTTAAATGTTTGTAGAGAAGAAGAATTGCTCTTCTCCATTACACTTTTTAGAACATCGCTTACGGTTACTGCTTGGGAATTTTTATTCTTATTATTTCTTTACTATTTTCCTTTTGTTTAGAATCTTGAGCATGCTGTAAACATTCTCAATGTGAACATTTTGGCAAGCGCATTGGCTTCGCCTAAGCGCGTCAAGCAGTAGTAGTAGTTGAAATTGTAGCAACAATAGTAGTAGTTGTAACAATAGTAGTGATATTTATAGTAGTATAATTGATAGTAGTGTAGTAAGAGTAGTAGAAGTTGTGTAGTTGTCATACACGTTTTTTTTTTTTTTTTTTTTTTAGCTTTACACTAACGCGTGGAGTTTTATAAATTTCCTACTATTCCGTTAATGATGCTCAGAAATCTGCTTCGGAGAAAAGACCTTTGTCCGACCTTTTTTTTTTCATCAATCGTTTAGCACAATTCCAAATGCGTGAAAAAATGTGAAATTGATTGGTGCTTCTATTAAGAAAAGTGGAAAAAGCGTGATTGCCATAGGAAGATGAATTATCGAGAAAGGCAAAAGAGAGAAATATGTCTTTAGCTCGAAATATTCGTAGTTACAGCTATGCCTGTAATTTGTAAAATTTTCTTCTCTTAATATCATTTATGCTACTTACCATACTATATGGGATACACATGCGACCATTTAAAAGACATTATTTTTAAACGTTTGAAACAAATAATGGATATGGAATGGTGGATATGAATAGATTCGGCAAGCGCCGATTTGTAAATACATTCATTTTTCTTAAGCACTCGATTTCAAAATTAAGAGATGACTGACTGATAAACGCTATATTTTTATTGTCTTTCTTCCTCTCTCTCCATTTTTATTTTAATGCAATTCAACATTCATTGTATCTGGCCGAAGGGTAATACGTCAAGAGTCGGCATGAAATGGACCAATCGTAAGAGCTCGTGTCTTATTCTATTGGTTTTTATATTATTGTTTATACACAAATTATGGTATTCTTAATATTAAACCATATTTTTGAAAAGAACCATTTAGAAATACTGTTTCCAAACAATGGATGCAAAATGTAAATGCAATACATACAAAGAATTAGGTTTTTTTTTTGTGGAAAACTTAGGCATGTGTATATTTTCTTCGTTTTTTTTTTTTTTTTTTTTTTGAAATGCCTCTGACGCTTTTTTTTATTAACATTTTTTTTTTTTTTTTTTTTTAAATTAAATTCAATATTTAATGTACCTGTATAAGCTTACGCATGTAAATCTGTGTATGTGTTGCATGATGGTGGTGATGATTTGTTGTTTTATTATATGCAGTTTTAAAATATACTAACGAACCTCACAATAATCAATTTAAATAAATAATGGTTTCGGATAACGACAGAAATGTAAAACTTAAAAATAAAAATCACTGTTTTATTTTCCAAAGTGCAGCTAAATGAAAATATATTAAGCACTGAGCACAACGCATGCATCTGTATCATGTGCACAATGCACTTAAATGTTAAAATACGATTTGATTGCACGTATGTAGCTGACCATGGAGCTTGCATTGCATTGATAGAGTAAAAATCATGTTAAAACAAGTAAAAACACTATAGCAGATCACTGCCTTTTCGCTTAGTAAAGTTATTCACATAACAACTCTTCAAAATAAGACAGTGGTTGAAAAAGTGGTCCGATCCGAACCATTTTCGATAGTGATCATCCTTGGGTCATCCTTGAGCCAAGACATGTCAATTTACCGAATTTCACTGAAATGTCTCGAAAATTGCCAACTCTAGGTTGAACACAGGATGAACAGTAAAGTGTACCTAACGTAAAGTGCACATTCGATTATAAGATGTTTAAACAAATTAAAAATTTTGAAAATGCTAAATGAATAAAATTTAATGGCACATCTAAAGGTGTCAAATATCCGGTATAGTGCTTTTGACATAGCTGTCACCATTTGGTATAAGCAATATTAATTTCCGTTAGACTAAACCAAATTGAATTTAATGGAGATGAAGAGAGACGAAGTTTTGCATGAAAATCATAGAGAGAATTTAATGGAAAGACGATCGTCTCTGTGACCTGATTGCATCTTTTCACTTTTTAAATAGTAACTATTTGCGATGCTAAGATATTTAACATTTAGACATTAAAAGGGGAAGGTCTACATTTCCCTCCGTATTAAACAACACTGAACGTCTTAATTTTCTTACGTGGCGATCCCATCAATCTGCTGCCGCAGCTAGCATTGTCTGCACCTGGCAGATATTAATTAGAGGATTTCCTCAGCCTTCCAAGACAATCCCGCAGGGAGGACGGCCTACTCCAAGCACTACGTACCTAAATGAGAGTTGAGATATGGCCCAAGCCTTCCCATCTAAACAGGGCGAGGCCTGTCAAGCAACTTTAATCATTTATTTAATGCTTTCACATGTGGGAATAATCAGAGCCAACACGAGTACTCTCCGAGAGTCGCACCCATGCAGCCAGGCTTCGCACATTAATTAACCTGCTACGTTCAAAATGTGTTACATATATTTTGGGAAAAAACCAAAGTAAATATATCCCCATATTACAGTGGTGTGTATAAAAACCGAATGAATTTATGAGAGCTGGTGAGCGGATTCAGTATAAATTAAGAGTAAGTGCCTTGTCAATGTCTTGTGTAGACCTAAGGCGTTTTGAATAAAATCGTGTAGAAAAACACAAACACCTTGAGCTGGTTTCTGCACCGCGGTAAATTTAAAACGCATAGAGTCCGAACTAGCTTATGTTATTTTATTTTAATTGTCAACACAAGAATACAACTCTGCATGCCATATAGAAACCTTAAGTATTATTTTTGCTGGCAATAATAATAATATGTAGTTAAGTGACGTATCACAATTGTCAAAACGCGAGATTTACTTTTTTTTTTTATCCCAATCGCAATAATTCAACGAGAAATAAATAAAATTCTTTGTAAAAAAATATTGGTAATTAAATTTTGAATTAATTAGTTTGATGTTTTTGATTTAATGTGTTGGTTTTAATGTGTTAAGTTTTAAAAGAGTCTAAAAGAAAAGTGAAAAAGTTTTTATAAAAGATGGCGGATCCTCTTAGTTTGTTACGCCAATACAATATAAACAGAAGAGAAATTATTGAACGTGATAGTCAAATAATATTTGGCGAATTTTCATGGCCAAAAAATGTGAAAACAAATTATTTGAAATATGGGTAAGTAGTGCGAGAGAAGTGAAAGAGTAAAAGTGTTTTAATCAGTCTTAATGCGCGGGCAGTTCGGGTAAAAAGGGAGCTCCACGCGAATACTACACTTTGGAATGTTTACTATATCTGCTAAAAAATGTTATGCTACAACATTCGGTGTATGTGCGTCAATGTGCAGCTGAAGATATACCGGCAGTTAATCGGCCCGATCGTAAAGAATTATTGGCATACCTTAATGGCGAGAGCATTACTTGCCAGAGTATAGATAAAAGTGCCCCATTGGAAATACCCACGCAGGTAAAACGACCAGTCGAAGGCGATGCAACGGGTGTTGAAAATGCTGCCAAAAAGGCCCGCTTCGAAGATACCCAAGTGCAAAAGGTGCGGGAGCAATTAGCAGCACGATGGGATGTTAATAAAAAGGAGACAACAGTCAATATTGATAATATTAAATCCTTGTCAGAGACCATGTCGGTGGAAAAAATTGCGGCAATTAAAGCAAAACGCTTAGCTAACAAACGTACCACAATTAAACGTACCGACACTGAGGATGCAATGGCCACTGATTTAAGAGCAATTCTTGATTTTGATGTAGATTCAACCAAAGATATTATAAGTCGTGAGCGCATCTGGCGTACGCGTACTACTATCTTACAAAGTTCGGGCAAATTATTTGCCAAAAATATTTTAGCCATATTGGCCGGAATAAAGGCAAGAGAGGAAGGACGTAATCGTCCTATGCAGCCGAATCCAATAAAAATGCCGGAACCGACTCGTATAAATAAGCCGCAACCGCAACTAACACAGTACAATCGCTATGATCAGGAACGCTTCAATAGACAAAAAGAAGGTAAGATCTTGATATTTTGATAACATACACATCTTAAGTGCAGTTATAAATAATTTTTTTATATGAATAGAAACTGAGGGTTTTAAAATTGACACAATGGGAACTTATCATGGAATGTCCCTAAAATCAGTGACAGAAGGATCGCAAGCACAACGCAAGGCGCAAATGACACCACAGCTTAGTAAGTATTCCGGTTTTTCCTTAAGCGCGTTAAATATCGTAATTGCCTTAAAGATCGCGCCAAAGAATTGCCGCCAGTGGCACCAGTCCGTCAAGCTCCGTCTAATTTACAAAAACGCGTCTCACGAACACCTATCATTATAATACCATCTGCTAATACCAGCCTAATAACAATGTATAACGCTAAGGATATACTGCAGGACCTAAAGTATGTTAGCACTGAAGAAAAGAAAAATGCTGGCAGTACACGTGACAATGAAGTGCTTCTACAAGTAATTGATTAATTAATTAATCAATTTTCATATAAGTAACTTTTTTTTCTTTCAATAGCGGAAACGACAAAATGTAACTGTACCTTATCGTGTCATTGATAATCCGCAAAAACTTACAGCTCAGGATTGGCAACGTGTTGTGGCTGTATTTGTTATGGGTCCCGCTTGGCAATTTAAAGGTTGGCCTTGGGATGGCAATCCTGTTGAAATTTTCTCCAAAAGTATTTAATGAATATAAGACCTTTCATAAAAGAGTTTTTTTTTTTATATCTATTTTATTTTCATATTTGTGCTTACAGTTTGCGCTTTCCACTTACGTTTCAGTGAATTGAAATTGGATGCAAATGTTGCCAAGTGGTCAGTTACGGTATTAAATTTATCGCAGAATAAACGTCATTTAGATCGAGCAGTATTAATGACTTTTTGGGAGAATCTTGACAAGTAAGCCGTAGTTTAGTTTATTTCTTAAAGGGGAAGATCGTATTGTGTGTTTGGAAGTTTCCCTTACCATTAGTCAAAAATTGTTTGCATAACGAATTAGTTATGGAATATCATATCATAAATGATATTATGTATAGATAAGCGATTTTTCATCTTTTCTTTCAACGCGTACGACCACCTTAAAAATACTTGAACAATACGTAAATAGACAGATCGCACTTAAGAAATTTAGCTTCTCAGGCTTATCGTAAATGTAACAATTATTTTTGCATTCTCCCGCGCGTAAGACTACTAACATTTAACAAAATTTAACAAAACACTCTGTTACTGATCCTAAAAGAGGTATATATTGCTATCATCAAGCAATCGAATCTAATCCAAAACTAATTCAAAATTTTTTTTTTTTTTTTTGTTTTCTCTTTTTTACTTCTTCAGATACATGGCGAAATACAAACCAGAGCTGCGGTTTTGAATGTGTGGCCTGGATGGCATTTTCAAAATTTGTTTTATGTCGCTATTTATGTATTTAAATTGGATTTTCTCGCTTAACTGGGAAACTAAGCTGTTTATTGCCAATTGATTGATAGTCGATTACATTTTAGGTTAGCATAAAAATTAATTATTTTACTTTATTTTTTGTAGCATAGAAATTTTTGAATGCAAATAGTTTCTCTTTACCGAGTTTGCTACAAACTTGGGTTAAGCGATAATTAAACTTCACATATTGTTACATATATATATGTAAGGATACTTAAAAACAAGAATTTGAAAAAAGAAATTTATATAAAAAAAAAAAATAATTTCTTTTTTTTTTTTTATTATTACCATTAAGGATGAGATTGAAAAATTTAAAAGAAAAATGGATCAATTATTACACGTGGACTTAGACGGCCCCTATTTGTAATACGGGCAAAAATAACATATGAGCTTTCTCGATTTGCTGGCGAGCCTGTAACATTTCCGAAAAAATCAAACTTACATACGAATGGAAATCTTCGTCAGAATCTTCTACTTGTGGCTTACAGGTGTTGACAAATAGGTCTACAAATTGATTGGCCAACACATGTAAATGTATGATGAAATGTCGAGCTAACTGGCAAACAGCGTCCACTTCATTAACTGTACTGTGATGGTCTTTTATAAGAAGGAGTTCAGCTATTTTGTGCAATTTTAACATTTGCAAAGCACACGTTTCTGAAAGAATCGTCACGGCGCGCGCATATATATGCTTACGTTTTGTTAAAGCAGGTTCATCAGACCTTAGCCATTTAAGTGTATCCGACCATAATCTATATTAAAAAAGTTTGTGTTATTTACGAACAAATTCTTCGGTAAGCGCATAATTTAATAGCGAAATTCCGACAGATGTTCTACGGTCCACATCAAAATTTTGAAATCCCGATTTCGTTTCCTAATTTCTTAATACGTTATTGTTAACTAATAAATTTCGCTACGAATTTATACACGAAGAATTGAAATATTACTTACTTTACTATGTCTTCAAAAGTTATACCCAATTTGATATCATCTAAGGCTCCATTAAGTCTGTTTTCCAATTCTTCAAGATCGTAAGGTTCGAAAGTGCTTTCTTGTTCATCGATTTCTTCCAGTTCTAAAAGTTCTTTTACCTCTTCCAACGTTTCATTCAATTCAATCAAGTCACCGTGTTTTGTCGTTTGTAATAATGTACGAATTTTTAGCTCAGATTCTTTTGAGAGTATTTCTAAAGCTTCCAAATGTACTAGACCGCAATTATTTTCGAACAAGGCTTTAAATGTTACCTCATCTTGTTTATTTTCCAAATTTAAATCTTTTAAGGTCTGTTCGATTTTCTCGTTTTCGTCTTTAGCTTGTTTGAGAATCTAAAATAATATTTTTAATATTTCTTTTAATTTTCCATTTATATATTTTTTTTTTACAACTTACTTCACTTAAGTTCGGTTTTTCCGCTTCCATTGTAAATTTTTTGATTTTAACCTTAAACGAAGGATCATTCTCTTGTAAGATTGTCATAGTTTTCTTGCCGATGCCTTCCAGAGTATCTAAACCGGTATTGATAACTTTGGTACCCAGGCTAGTAACGCCTGTTACCAAATTCAAACCAAACAATTGATTATTGCCACTAGCCGCCAGTGCTTGATCTTTTTGGGAATTTTCTTCTGTTAACCTTTCCGCTTTTGCTTCTTCCAAAGCATTTAAACGTGCCATTTCGGAAGGATCTGGCAAGCCAATCACTTTATCCAATTGCTGTGTCATAGTATTGGTTATATTACCAAAACCCTCGCTTGCTGTTGTAAAAACTGACGACATAACGCCACCAAACAGGCTGCTCCAACCCATCCCCGAATTATTCGCTATGAAAGATTTTTCTGCGTCTTTTGAATAATTGTTATTCTCCTTTGTTTGCTCTTTTTTATCACTTGATTCCTCTTTATTATTATTTATTAGCTCCTGAGTTGCTGAGTCCGCTTGTGATTTTGAATTATCTTCTTCGCAATTCCAATCATCCCAATTATCATCGTCATCTTCCCAATCGTTCTTATTATCATCGATATTTTTTTTATTAACTTCTGCCATTTTTTATAAAGTTTATTAAATTAGCTAGAATTTGATTTACGTGTCAAAATTGAGAAAAGAAAATTATATTTATTAAATGCTCTCTCTACAGTTCACATGGCATAATAACTATTAGAATTGCGAATATATATGTATGTTGACTATTAATCCAAGATGAAATTAGTTGTATTGTAGATTTTTATTAAAAAAATTATAATAAATATTGACTTTTCAATTAAACATATTCTTGAATAAATCTCACTTTGTTAAACGTCAATAATATTTGTTGTTTCTTCTGTTTATTAAATCAATCAGATCGGATTGATAACTTTTTATTTTTGCTAATATTAGCCAAAAGGAATTATCACAAATTTTTAAATTCAAAAATATAAAAAAAAGATGCAATTAAATTAGAATCAGATAGACATTAATTTATTCGTTCCCTAAAATATATTGCAATCAATTTCCTTCGATTGAGGAATTAACTCTTTAATTTTTGTTGTCTCGCATATGAATTTAATTAGTTACTTTCGGGTTTATATTCCTCTTATATAAGTTGACATATGAATGTTATCACTAGGTTTCAAACAAGGCGTATCGAAATTTCCTAATATTCCAGCCATTAGTTTAGTAGTTACACTTGTTTTAGTGACATTATCTATGTTGTATTTAAAACAAGTAAGAACACTATATATTATATTGTATTATCGTTTTTGTAATAATATACCAAAAGGTATGCATTATTTTTATGCAAAGCCACAAATATCATGAAAGCTCGCATATTGAAAGATTAGATTGTCTCTGCATAAAAGAGTTGCGTTCCGTAATAAGGCCTTTATATGTTGGCCTATGTAATAGACCTGTGATCCAAATTCCCTATCGTTATCTTATATATGGTGTGGGGTCTACAAGTAGACGCATGTGTTTCAAATTAGATTTACATTACTCTTTTATTAAATTACTTTCTTAAGCAAATTTCCATCACAAAATACTAGCAATGAACCTTTTTGGGCATATAAGAGTTTAAGTTTCGTGAGAATTCTTATATGCGGCGGTATCCAAAAATTAGACCTACGTCATCCACATCCGGCTAATTTCTTTGTCAATTTACTGTTGTGAGCCAATTTTCACGAATTTTTTGAAAATTCGATCTGTTTGCCATATAAAGCTCCAATTTCCTTAGGGACGGTTTTATGAGAGGGCGTTCAAAAAGTGGACCGATCCAAACCATTTTTAATATTATTCTTGCTTGGGCGAAAATACGTATGTTTATAAAATTTTATCTAAAAATTGCGACTTGTAGCTTCAACACAATTTAACATGGAGAAACATCAGGCGGACAAACAGCATTAGATCGCTTCAGAAACATTTTCAAAGACAAGTTTTCTTTTATTACTTCCTACTCATCATCCCAATGATAATTAAAGGTTAACTCAATATCTCAAAAGGAAAAGAAGAAAGTAACATATACTTATGTTCGCTTTATAATGAATGCTTAAAATACAAAATTATTATATTTGAGGGTAAACGATGAATTATTGTGGAACGATAATACTACAGTAGCCATTGGTTAACATTGCTTAATTTAGCTCGATATTTAAAGAAAAACATTGTACTTACGAATTTTTTTTTTCGTTTTTTTCACAATTCACAAATGTACTTTCGGGCACGATTTAATCCCTTTTTTTAATTTATTCAAATTTTTGAATTAATAATTCATTTCGTAACAGCTGTTGCATCTGTTTGTCTCTACAAAGGCAACTCTTAAAGAGAGAGATTTGTGGCAACTTTCTTTCTTTCAATTTTATTAGGTTCTCTTGTGGGATTAAGGACAATCTGTTCAATGCAATCTCAGAGTAATTCAAAGAGCCCGAAAAAACTGAGCATCCTGTGCAGTTATCTCGGCGATATTAGCGTAAATGTCTTCGGAAAGATAACAACTGCTATTGGTCAGATGTAGCAAAGTTTTTTGGAACTGACTGAAAATTTATTAAATTGATTATAAGCAGTTATCCGACTATAAAGATATTCTTGCCCAACAACTACGTACTTATGCACGCACGCAAAATATAAAGAAAAAAAATCCTTTTTATTTTACTTTTTTTTTATATTTAATAAATTTTTCAGTTTTTAAAACATTTATGCTTTTTTTCAGTTTTTGCAATGATGATTTTCTTCGTTTTTCCTTCTTATCATTCACATAAAATGTCGTCTTCTTTTTTTCATAATTGAAATCATCATAATTGATATTACAATAATATAAGTAAAGGGAATTAAAAATTGAAATTAAATAAATTGTAAATTGATTTTTACTATTCTTCCGTGTTGGGGGGTGTGTTTGTGTATGTGTGCGTCGGTATGTCTGTGGCGTGTTGTGAATATTCTCCATTTATTAAGAATGTAATAGGAGTGAAATGGGTTTGTTTTTTGGATAATTTTTTTTTTTGATTTTTTTTTTTTTTTTTGTTTAGGATAATTTATACATAAATATTTAATTAATTGCATTTTCCAATATATATGATTTTCTGTTATGTGTTGTCTGTTATTTGATATCTTGATATAATGACGGATCGCTTCCCATATTCATGCTTGCTTTACTTTTCATTTTTTCTTTTCTATCATTTTTCGCCTTTTTTCTCTTCCGTTATTCACCCGCCTTTCATATTACGCTTATATTTTCCTCTACCCTTTTTGCGTTCTTTTCAAGTCTATTTAAAAAAAAAACTTTTTAAGCTCTTCATAGCTTTTAATTGCCCCACCAATCGGGGCCAGAGGAGCTGTTGCCAGCATAATTGCCCGAGTCATTGCCGTAATTGCCGGCATAATAACTGCTGTTACTATTATATGATGAAGTGCCATTACTACGATAGGAGCCGCTACCACCGCCGACTCCGCCTCCGCCACCACCGCCGCCGTTATTACCACCAGGACGGTTGCGATTAGTGCCAGATTGCTGGCGATAATCACGCGACCCAAAGCTATTACCATAACGAGAGCCACCACTGCTCCCCCCTCCTCCTCCGCCGCTACTGCCGCCACCGCCACCGGTGCGACGTTTACCACTGCCATGCGAACGTTCTGCGGCCATCATTTCTTCTAAAAATGTTGGTACTTCTTGCTTAGTCTCAATCAAGAGTTCGAGGAGGTCACCACAAATGTTACGATTCTTTTCATTAAAGAATGAAGTGGCAACACCAAGATTGCCCATTCGCCCAGTGCGACCAATACGATGAACATATTCCTCTACATCAGAGGGTAAATCGAAGTTAATTACATGTTTCACATGCGGTATATCCAAACCACGTGCAGCAACAGCCGTGGCCACTAAAATGGGACAATCGCCTGAACGAAAGCAACGTAAAGCTTCCTCGCGTTCTTTTTGCGTACGATCACCATGGATACTAGTCACAGGATGGTTGCACCTGTATAAGAACTCCTCTAGGTTATCGGCTCCCTTCTTAGTCTCAACGAATATTAAAGTTAAATGATCTTTTGAGTACTCAGAGCCCTCACGGATGGATTGCAGCAAATCTAATAAGTAAGAACGCTTATTTTGCTCAGACACCCACAGTATAGTTTGAGTAATATTCTCTGAAGTAGAACCTACACGTCCGACGGCTAAGAATATATAATTATTCAAAAAATCTGAGGCCAATTCTTGGATTTGTTTTGGGAAAGTAGCGGAGAACATAAGAGTTTGTCGCTGTCCTGTTGGGGGCATATTTGATTGCTCGACTATGCGACGTATCTGTGGCTCAAAGCCCATATCTAACATTCGATCGGCCTCGTCGAGAACCAAGAAACGTATATTGTCGAGGCAAACTTTGCCACGCGTTATCATGTCTTCTAAGCGGCCTGGGGTGGCGACAATCAAATGACAACCGCGATCCAATTCACGCATTTGTTCGGAGGTATTATTGCCTCCATACAAGACGGCTGGGCGCATGCGAGAGCGATAAGCAAACTTTTTGGCCTCCTCGAATATCTGTGTGGCCAACTCGCGGGTCGGTGCCAGCACCAGACCCAACGGATATTGCCTACGCCTATTATAACCACGTGTATTTTGAGGCGGTGCCGGTATGCCATGCTCGTACATTTGATTAAGAATGGGCAGCAAAAACGCTGCTGTTTTGCCTGAACCGGTCTGGGCACAGGCCATCAAGTCGCGACCACTTATAATGATTGGTATAGCGTACTTTTGTACCGGCGTCGGTTTATCATATCTAGCCATTTGCACGTTATGGCGTATAATCTCTGTCAGCTGCACATCTTCGAAGGATGTGATGTGCGGAGGAGCATTTTGACCCGTCGCTTCCACGGGTATATCCTCGTATTTGTCAAAATTAATGCCGGTATTTCCGGTTCCGAACAACTCTTGTTCAAGACGCTCGTCACGCGGTCCCAACTTGGTGTAATCGATGTCAGCGCGACCGCGTTCCTCATTCCAACGGTTGCCATATTTACGTTGCTCGCCATTGCGGGTATCATCGGGACGTCGTTCTGGCTCTTGCCAACGATTGTTTCGTGGTTGGTCTTCGTCGCGTGTGGAGCCGCCATTGCCGCCGCCACCACCGCCATTGCTACCCCCGCGTCCACTCCGGTAGTTGTCGCGTTCAAAATTACGATTTTGATTGCGTCCACCGCGATTCCAATCCTCGCCCCCGCGTCTAGAATCGTTGTCAGTGCCTGTACAACAAAAAAAAAAAAAAATTTTAAATTTATTTATAAAATACTTATTAATTTTAGAAAACTTTACCGTTATAATTATCTTCGTATCTGTTATTACCCCCACCACCACGGCGTGCACCAGTAAAACTGCTAAAATCACCGCTTTGACGATTACTAAAATTGCGACCACCGCCACCACGGCGATAATCGCCACCACGCTGTTGTTGTTGTTGATCCCTACCGCTATCGTATTTACACGACGTACTACTTCCACCTCCGCTAACACTTGTAGTACTTCCTCTGACGTCGTCTAAACCAGCACTACGATTATCGTTTGAATTAGCTTGCGAAGCGTTGTTATTCCCGCCACCACCTCTTAAATGTGGAGGCACGTAAACGCCGGAGCTAGAAGTAGATGAACTTTTTGTTGTTATGGGGCTGCTATTGTTAGCTTTGCCGCCATTCAAGTCCAGACCAGCAACCTATTAATTAACATTAAAGTAAAGGAGAAAAAAATTCGATCAATAAATACACAATACTCAAATCGAATCTGAACAGATTTGTTCATCCATAAATACATTAAGCTACATCGTATCTTCTCAAAGATGAGGGGAAAGGCTATAGATTTCTTAAATAATTTTTTTTTTCGAGCTTTTCGGACTACAAAGAAAACAGGAAAAATCGAATGAACGGGAGGTCAGTTAAACCCGTGAGGCGGACTTCTAAGTGTTACATTCAAAATAGCAAATTTAGTATATCCCAAGATTTCCCGGTGATAATAGTACTAGTAAGTAATAATGCAAATAAAAGTGTCAGAAGAAATTACAATAAAAACAAATACAGTGGCTTCTTCTTTGTTAAACAGGAATTAACTGAAAAAAAAAAAAAAAGACTACAATAAAATGAAACTGACAGGTTTAAAAAAAAAAATAGAGCGTGACTTAAGTGATGATATTTATAAACCGAAGTATACAATGAATCTTCTTCCTCCCTTCTACGGAGTAATAAATATATAATATATTAGAAATGTGATAACGTGGCATAGACAACAACATCGCAACTTGCTGATGAAGTACTTGCAAATGTGCAAAGAAAAAATATAAATACATATATGAATTTATTCATTTAGTTTAGGTATCAATGTGCAACTGAAAAATTTGCGGACCGGCGTCTGCATACTTGAAATCGTGAGGTACCCGAATAATAATTTAAATCATGCATTATTTCTTTAATCTAAATTTTAAAAAAGAAATTAATTAAAATTACTTATCTGACGACAATAACTCGGACAAGCTCTGAGTGCTAAGGAGATTGAATATATATATATATATGTATATATATATCCATATATATTTAGCGCGAGCGCTTATGGTAAAGGTACCTTAATAAGGTTTGCACGCATACAACATATCTACACCAATGCATTCAAAATTGCTTTTTAAGTGAACTAAAGCCCATGAGTCCCGCTCTAGCCACATTTGCGCGTTTATCATGCACTTTCGATTTATTTTAGTGAAATTTGTTATTTTCAGGCCAAACCCTATTACAAATGAATAAAGGCTCACCATTGCTACGACATCTATCTAGCTTTCTATATAGGAAAACATATTTGCCAGAAATCTATGAAGAACATTTTATAACTTGTGCAAAATGAATGTCGAAAATTTGGATGGTTATGGGAACAATTTTCTGAACGCCTTTCTATGGCAACAATGTCTAGTTTTTGGTGTTTTATGATAAAAACTTATTTAACATATTAACCCGCTGCACTAAATTGGAACCATATTTGCCAGACTGTCCTTTCACATTCAACATTTTTCTAAAAGTTCCAATGAATTCCTAATTTTTTTTAATGCCTTCGCTTCGCTTGTCTATAATAAGGGGTTTTAAGTTGTGATATTTAATTTCCAAATCAGTGGCAAGAAGAAATAGCATTCGCTTTGTGTATATCTTTTTTTAAATTTTTTTTTTTTTTTATCTTAATTTAAGAAATTAAATACATCCCTGCAAAAGAGTAACCCCTATAATTACCACACCTGGTAACAGGAATAGGGACAGAAGCACGTGCTTTTATCAGATATGGAGTTTAAACAATGGGAAAATACATTTATAACGAAACTGCTAAAGGTTTGGTCGATTGTGAAAAAAGGTCTAGAAAATTTTGCTTGGAAACTGGCGAAAAGCATTTTCAATTTCAATAAAATTTCGAATTGACCGCGTAGACAAGCATATTGAAAATCTTTTTTTTTTTTTTTTTTTTTACAAGATCAGCCACAAAAGGGTTGTCTTGCGTATATGCGGTGACGGTGACGTTTTGCAAAGGTCGTAAAAAAAGAGAATAGGATTATAGTATCATCTGAACCGATTTCCTGCAGGCAGATTATATGCCTGCCGAGCAGGAGGGTTAAAGAATGGCCTATAAAGTTAATGTTATAGTATATACATGTAGGGGGAACTATCGAGTGATTAACAACGTTGTCAAAGCCGAGTAAGCCTAATAAAGAAGAGTGACGCTGAACTGAACAATTTATGAAAAGTTGTACGATGGACTCTGGCTATTATCGAAGCTCTTCAATAAAAATTACAGCAGTTTTTACTACCAGATGCATAGAAAATGCAATGAAATGTATGGTCAAATTGTAAAAAAGTGTACTTAAAAATAATTGAAAGGAAAGTGTTAAGAAAAATTTACGATTATCCAAATATAAATTCCTTAAAAGAAGGAAAAACATATTAAAAAGACAAAAATATATTAAAAATCTACCAGTTTTGTGAACCCGTCCTAATTTTCAATCACAAGTTTCATTATTTAAAGACTATAATAATAGCAGATGAGTGTATCGAAAAGCTTCAAAAGTAGAATGAACAAATGAATCGGAGACACTAACGTGCAAAAAAATCTTTGCATTTAAGCAATATTTAATTAGAGTGTTATCATTATCGTAATTACCTCTCGCTGATTTAACTATTAGGCAAGAATACAAGAAGGCTGAATACAAAAGCAAAGGCTAACTTTCAGACAAGCGGCTACCACGTTGAATTTGCGGTAAGAATTTCGCTCTCTAAACTTTTCAACTAGCTAATTGTGAATTGTTAGTAAAAAAAAAAACATCCTTGCAAATCGCTTGATATGGCATCATTTAATACAGACGAGATATTACTTTCTTAAGATCCACAAACAACACTGAACATACACATACAATAGGCATATGCACGCATTAATATCACGTTTAATAGCGATAACGGATTGACAATTTTTGCAATAATATTAGAAAGTAATTTCCAACACATTATGACGAAAGGACAACAGAAGCAACAAAAAGGAAACGACCAACATTTTGTTCGGAAATCAAGTAGCAAATAACCTGTGTAATCTCGCTAAAAAATGAAAGAAAAAGAACACACATAAACACATGTGTGGACGTATACAAAAGAAAGAATAAGAATCGCATTATATACATACATTAGTAAAAATGTATGTGTATAAAAAACAGCAAATTTATTGTCTCGTTTTTCTGCACTATAATGCATTTCTGCCGCCACCGTCTCCAACACATATGAAACGTTATGAAATCAATAATTCTTTATTCGTCTTTTTTGTCGCGTTCTTTTTTAGCAAACTGCTCTTGAAGTTTTTAATAAAATGGGGGTTTCTTCGTTTTCTTTACACATTTGCATGAACAATGAATTTTTTTGCTTTTTATTTTTTTAATTTTTACAATATAATATCAGCATTGATGCGTGTGTACTTACTTGCTGCTCTAGACCTGTGCCATTTTGGTTAATAGCATTACTCATATTACTTTCCAATCAGATTCTGGGGTTTTTTGGTGCTTTCCTTTTTATGAGGAAAATCTTCACGAAATGTCAGTTATATTTATTATTAAGAAGAAGCTTTAATAGTCTTTCTTTCCCTTGTCCAAAAAGTGAATAAAATTTATAGAAAAAAAAAGTAAAAACTTATGTATCGAGAAAATTTTTTAGATACGTTTTCTTTTCTACACACACACGCATATATATAAGTTTGTATTAGTCTACATATATGTACATTAACATATATATGTATGTATATGTATATATATATATATATATATATATAATTTTTTTCTGGCTTTCTTCCTTGATTAAAAAAAAAAAATTTCACAAAGCTCAAGACTCACTTAATCCTAATCGAAGAAATGTCAATTATTTCAATTTTATTTAAGATTTCAGAAATTCTGATAATTAAAATTGTATTTTTTCTTTTTTTTTCTTTCCTTTTTCTATTGAAATTAAAATTATCGAAGATAATTTCTTCACCACACGCGTGAAACAACAAGAGACCGATTGTTTTGCACGTTCGTTTCGTTTGTTTGACGAAGGTACGAATATTTTGTTAGTGTTGCCTTTTCTTTAATAGAAGTTAATTAGAAGTAATTGTAACGAATGAATAGTTATAGTTGTATTCAGGATAATTCAGCATAATTCAATATTAGGAATTAAAATATTTCAGGATAATTCAGCGCTTCAGTTTGTTTGCAAGTAAAAGTAAGCTTAACGACAGACAGAAAGTAATTTCTTTATTTTTATTTTCTGAAAAATATAAAATCCAAAAAAAAGGGAAGTATAAAATTTAGAATTTTGAATGAAATATATACGAAAGAAAAGATAAACAAATAAGTAATCAGGTAAACAATCTGATTTTCAAGAAAGTTTACATTAATTACTGTGAACGATTTCTTGTTTCGCAATACTTTTTCAACTGTAATATCGGATTAAGAAGTCTTCAAATTTTTGATTTTATTGCACATTTACAAGGCGCAAATACATATATAAATGCCCTTTGCAGTTTTTGATAAAAAAAAAATTGAGTAATTGATGCGAATTGAAAAATCATATTAAGGTAGTAAGGATTTTTGAACAACAATAATAAAAATTACTAAAATTTAATATAAATTCTGAAATTATTAAATTTGTAATGCAACTTGTAAAGAGAATAAAGGAAACGATTTCTTAGCGACGTAGCCGTTTAAAATACAATTAATAGATTAAAAAAAACTGTAAAGAAAAATAAAACAACAAAGCAAATTAAGAAATTTTAGTAGAAGACGAAGAAACAATTGCAAAGTATTCACAGTAAATTGATAGCATACATAATTGAAATTATGTATCTTGTTTCGTTTTAAAGGCAAATTATACGTAATATTATGCAGTGTCATCTTTTGATCAATTAATAATAATTAATAACAATTCAGAAATTAGTTAAGGAAATTTTAAAAAATTAACTAAGAACCCTAAGAATATTCTCGTGGACTATTGGGGTTATAGAACTCTTGTCGTCTTATGAAAACACGAACGTAGAGTTTAGCGCCGAAGTAGTGAGCCCCAACATGTTCAAACTATTTTTTACGTCCAACAATTATATTACTTATATTATATACAAGTTGAAATGAAAAATGAAAATATATCTTAACAACTTGGTACGCTTTAAATTAATTGGTGGGCACATATTTTGAAAGATATGGCTGACAAATCAGCTTTAAATGTCTGCCTTCTTCGGTCAAATTATTCATAATCACTAAACGAGAATATTTGAAAATTTCCTCATCCGTATATTGTCTCCTACTAAGCAACATCAAGTCACGTGCTAAAGTTAACTGACTGATTCTTCCAATTTCAAGTTCGAAGAGGAGAGCTTAATCATTTCACAATAAACATTTGGATAAATGTTGCTTTGACATCTTTAATGGGGGTTTTATTTCTATTAACAAATTCTTGTAATTTCTCATCTAAATTTGATAAGTGCTCAATCAATTCCCGCCGACTTTGCTTAACGACTCTACGTATTATTTTACTTGATAATAGAAAAATATAAATACAAAAATGCCGCGAATTTTCATCGTTGTTAACGCGTAAACCGGGGCTATTAAGGTATTTTAAAACCAAATCCAGGATGTTAATGAGTAAAAGTAGAAAAGTTATGATAGTTGATTTAACCCACGTAAGTAGTGTTCGGAAATCGTGCTGCACACGTCAATTTGTTACTGAATATGGTGGAGAATAAAATATGTTTTCATAGAATACTCTTAGTAATTTTTTTTTAACTTCCCGATTTTTTAAAAGGCAAAAGTATACAGTTAAATTTATACATTTATCAAATAAGCAATACTTACAATTCTCCCAAGTCGGAAAAATAGAACTGTGGATATAGTTCTCAGTCTATAGACTATAGAGTTTCAGCTTATGCGAGGTGCATCGAGCAAATATACTTAGAATTGAATGCTTAACTAATTTATCGTAAGAGTGAATAAAACCTTCTGGCTTGTTCTAATTATAAAATGTAATTATTATTTTTTAGTTTGATGTCATGAACATGCCAAACTTGCATGGTACCATTGTTCAAATATTATTTGTGGCTTAATTGGCGGCGCTGGTTTACTGTCGGGCCGTAATTATGGCGATCATGTGCGTATATAAATTCAATAGCATTTTAAACATTTTTAATTTTTTTTGTTGTTGCTACTATACGATCTTTGAGCCAGGTACGCGTAAAATAGTGTGTGCATTAAGGCGAAAATTTACGTTTATATCCTTGGAAGCGAAATGAGCCGACACATTTTTTAAAATTGCATTCGTGTGTTAAAATATAAACTTTCACCTTTGTTATTTTGCGAAGTAAAGAAAAATTCTTCTGGCTTTTTTTATACACTATGCCACTTGTCGTACAAAGGGTAATTTTGTACGAATTTGAGATAGATAGATCCTTTTTTAATTATGCCTATCGATTCAGAATCACTTTCTGAATCAATCTAAGCTTATCTATTCGTTTTGGGTTCTTGTGTTTAGCCTACAGGCTACAATTTTTGAGATATTTTGAAGAACTACACGAAACTTTTTGCTTATTTACTTAGACTGGGATATAATAAAGAGTGATACAATTTAAAGTTAGATAAAATATAATTATCAAAGCCAAGTCTTCACGTGTAAAATTTTGTGATGTGTTTCAAATACATATAAAAACAATAGGTGAACTTCAAGTTTTCATAAAAAATATGTATGAAATTCACTCATGAAAATGACAAAAATTAAAAATATATTCAAAGACAAAAAAGATGAACATAATATACATTTCATCAAAAGTTACAGCTATAATAATTTTGTGAGCAAGAGGAAGAATTGAATTTTCACAATATTTGACGACCCGTAAATTATGTGAGCAAGAGGAAGATTGAATTGTAAAATATTTGACGACCCGTAAATTACGTGAGGAAGAATTGAATTGTAAAATGTTTGAGGACCCGTAAATTATGTGGGCAAGAGGAAAATTGAATTGTAAAATATTTGACGACCCGTAAATTATGTGAGCAAGAGGAAGAACTGTAAAAATTGTAAAACATTCTGGATACATGCCCCATGGAAACTTTTTTAGGCAATTTTAATAGATATAATAAGCGAATGAATGCAAAACACTATTTTATTACTCTCTATTATTCCAATTAATATAAGATTCTAATCGGATCAGTCAAGTCTTTTAAAATGTAATTTTAATAATAATCTATAACAATCAAAATCCTCTTATTAATGTATATAATAATGTGTGTCAAGTCACTTCAATAAACTGTTTTATAAATTCATATTTGTGTAAAATAATAAAAAAAAAAGAAACTAAAATTGGAAAATGTTTTTTTGTCTAAACTCACTAAATAATAATGCCGTCTTTATAACTCATGCAAAAAAAAGAAGGTAAATTAAAAGAAAAAATCCCAAAAAGTTTTCCTCTATCGCAATCCTTTAAAATATGCAAATATTTTATCTTTACAGATAATGCATCCTCTTGGAAGATGTCGTCAGGCTTTTTTTTTTGCATATGAAATGCTCACCCAACTTTGCATTTATCTATAGGAACAATTTGGACCCGAGATGTAAAAAAGAATTGTATTTAAATTCTGCAAATAAAAAGAATAAATTATTAAAATTTCTTTTCTTTCTTTTATTATTTATTTTATAACTTTTCCAAGCAAGGAAAACATCCTCGCTTTCAACATTTTTCTTAGTATAAACGAACATATGAAAACTGTTGTTGTTTATTGTTGTTTTTATTTTTATTTCAAATTTTTCAAATTAAACAAATTTTTTACACTTAAGAAACGTAGTTTTTGGAAAAACACTTGTTTTTGCCTTCTTTGTATGATGTGTCGAATTTGACACGTGTTTGAAAACGATGCGTTTTCCTTTTAACTGGTTCTTTTAGATCCTTGGCCGATAATTTATCAAATGTAATTTCGCTGGCGGTATATCGTGTGGGCGTCAGAAGATTTTTTAGAAGCTTTAAAAATGGCTTTATTTTCGATTTTTTCTTCATTTAGTTTTACTAATTTGTTTAGTAACTTTACGTGGATATCTATTTATTATCTGCCATTATCAAAGTTCCCAAGAGAAAAAAGGAATGACGAAAAGCTTTACAAATGTTCTTACAATAATATTCACATTTCTTCTTCATAAATAGCTGGTTGTTCTCTATAGGCTTTGCACTAATCATACATCCGACTTTTGATTTAACGCTGAGTAACCAACTGGTATTTCTTTCAATTCTGATTTAAGACACAGAAATTCACCGCCTATACACATTATCGTAGTGGTTATGGCATTTACCAGCCACCACGATATATTCGAGGGAAATGATGAATTATAATGCCAACATATTAGTAAATGGAAGAAATGGAAAGTGCAACTGTAAAATAGGCATGGGATATAGTATAAAAAATTATTTTTTTAATTTTTAATTCAGTGTTAATGCTTACCTAAAATCCAAACACAATTTAGCTCGTCTTATTATGCACCATAGGAATAAAGACGCCAAAAATGAATTAGTAACGAAAGCGCAGATAATCAAACGGCCTTTAAGGTCGGATATGTGGATTTCCTAAAGTTTGCAAAAATATTTAAATTCACAAAACGTATCTATGTAATGCGAAAGGAGAGAGAACAAACATGATACTCAAATACGTTGTCCAAACGATATGTATCGCCAGCTAATAAGCTAGCTGTTAAGATCAACAATCCCAAGGTAAAATAGACGCAAAACTGTACAGATATTATTTGTGAGATAATCAGCACAGGATCCCATTGGAATGGGTTACGAAATGTGCCAGCTTTCATTATTAAGTCTTTCTACTCAACAGTTTTTTATTTTAAATGTTGACTAAGCCAATTAGGCTTGTGAAAACAGTGGCTTTTTTTAACACACTAAATAAATAAACAATATTTTTTTTTTCTTTTATGTTCTCTACAGCTGTTTGTCAAATATCAACGACAGGGTTGTCTTTGGCAAAATAAGGAAGCGTAATATACCGTGCGCTTAATTTTATTAAAATTGCTCTAATTGTAAATGTCTTTTATTTTAATAAAATTTTTTATATATGTTCTGCTGTTTGTGTTCAGTAATTTTTATATATTTAATATTAATAGAAATAGTGACGAGAGATAGTAATTGAAATAATGTCCGGTGAGATGCGAAGCAGCTGTTTTGTATTTCTCGTAACATAATATATTTATAATTAACTTCTTGAAAATATGTCAAATTGGTCTAGTGGTTTAATTAATACATTAAAAGATCCCTCAAAACATATAATAGCAAGTAATTTGGCGGTAGTTATTAAAGACTTATATCCCAAGGCCAAACATCATTATCTGGTATTGCCTTTAGCGGACTTACCTACAATATTCCAAGTTAGTAATTGATATAGTTAAACCAAATTTCCTATCTCCAATTGTTTTCTTTTTCAATTTTTAGTTAAATGCAGACCATTTATCTTTAATGGAAGAGTTATATTTATTAGCTTTGAATATCATCGAAGTAAAACAAGAGGATTTGAATAATTTTCAAATTGGTTTTCATAATCAACCGAGTATGCAACGTTTACATATGCATGTTATATCAAGAGATTTCGTTTCCGATTGCTTAAAAACTAAAAAACATTGGAATAGTTTTAATACTAGACTCTTCCTATCCTATGAAGGTAGATAAATTTGATTATTAATACGACGGAATGCTGACTTTATGCCCATTTTTTTTCAGAAGTCTGTCAGCAACTCAAGATAAATGGAAAGGTTAAACCTTTAACCAAAGTTGAGCTACAAGCATTAACTAAAGAAGACTTAAAATGCAACCAGTGTTCTTTTAGACCTAAGAACATGCCATTATTGAAACAACATCTGAATAGTCACTTGAAATAAAAGAGATAATAGAAAGAATGAAGCTAAGGGCTCTTTTTTTTTTATACGTATAGAACTTTATTAACACATTGCACAAGTTATGAATTTTTTGTACATGGTAAAAGGAATGATTGAAACTTTTTCTAGCCTTTATTTCTTTATATGTTTATTATAAGTAATTTTCAAACAACAATAATAAATTTGCATAAGCAAAGACAATTTAGACTACGGAGGAAGACGTGCGCCTAATGAAGGATTTGGGAGAGGACTTTGTGTATTTTATATATTGAAGAAGAACACAAAAGTGAATATTAAAAAAAAACGGATTTAAATGTTTGCTTCGTTTAGTTCAACATAGATGTTTGTGTGTGTGTGTACGCGTGTGCTTTCCCTATAGAATGTTTACTTCCGTTGATAGTTTCTATGCTTTTCTGGTTCAATTTGATAAATGTACTGCAGTATTTCTTTTATAACTGGATCTTTGCGATTGGCAATAGCTTTTTCCATTTGTGACAATTTAACCTGCGTATCGGCTCGTATTTTCGCAGCGACATCCTCACGCGAACCCATATGCTAAGAAAATAGTAATGTTCTTTTTAAATAAAATGCATTAACAATAAATCCCATTTTTTCTATAACTAACCTTGGCCTCAAAATCCTTAAATTGACGTTCCCTTTCTTGGCGATATTTTTCAATTTCTTCGGTAGCCTCTTCTTTGGCTTGTTTCAAACGTCTAGCTTTGCCTGCAACAGTTTAAAATAAAATTAAATTTTTTTTCCAAAACAAATTTGCACAGTATAATCTTATCATGTGACTCTCGTAGATTTTTTCTAAAATGTTTTTTTAACTCACGTTTTCTAGCTTCAGCAACCTTCTCGGCAGCTTTTTTTTCAGCGGCCAATAACTGTTGTATACCCTGGGTTTGACTAGTCATTATTATTTGTCGATTTTTTCTAAATTTTTTTTATTATTGCAAGAATTTTACTTTGCGGGAAAGAAATTTTACACTTAAATTTTTCGTAAAAACGAACAGAACGAATGACGAAAGATATACTTTTTATGCAACTTTTAGGCTGTGGATTGTAAATGTCATATGACATAGACAGAAAAATTAAAATCGATTAAATGAACTTAAATAGTATTGCCAGATTACTTTTTTTGGTGTGTCAACTGGAGATTTGCAAAATAAGAATTTTGGTGATTTATGTCGAAGAACTATAAAAGAGAAAATTAAATACCTCAAAAAAAGTGCATGGAATTATCTTTAATTTACTGCCATTAGAATGAAGAATGTTAGATGAAATTTTATAAGATAATCCAAAAATCTAATCTAATTGAAAAAACGAAGCGACTTTAAATACACCTGCTAGTAGGGAAAACACTTTACAGGGAAATTTGATCTAACATTGAAAAATGAACGTCTAATAATAAGTGATCTCTGCGATGCACTTACTCGTAGCAATCTAATCTGACTTGCCCCCTTTTTTTTGCCGTTCGATTGTTGAAAATTTTGACAAAGATATGAAAAAAAAGAAAATGTTGCAAAATTAAATATCAATTCCAGCAGAGGCAGATTGCTTATAAAATACGTTTTAAAACGATCTTGAAAAGTAACAACAACAATTATTTGATAGCAGCATTAATCGACTATATCCTTTTTCTTTGGACAATTAGAACCGTTTTAGCCGTTTCTAAGGAATGAGTGTGCAATGAAGCTTCAGGCAACTTGAAAGTAAAAATTTTACAACTATGTTAATGGCATAACCTACGTCAAATTTTAAAAGAGGAAAAAGTTAGTACAAAAACACTATTTAATTAGAGATCGGTCGAAGGAATTTACAAACTAATTCAGATTAAAAATTACAAATTAAATACCCAGGTTCGTCACAATTACATAATAATAAAATTTTTCATCTCTCTTTTTGTCCGTTACGCGGAATTTATCTATATATACGGCTATTCCTGACGTCCTTTAAGTGTTGGCCGACGTCCCCTTTTGCGTCTAAGGGCTTTGTTATGAGTTTCAATGTGCATTCTTAAATGATCTAAACGGCAAAATCGCTTCGGGCACTGGGTACACGCATGGTCTTTCTCATTTTTATGACACTTCATATGTCGTTTTAAATCGTGCTTATAACAAAATTTTTTCGGGCATAATGTGCACTTGTGTGGTTTAGCGTCAGAACCGTGACGGGTTAAATGCGCATTTAAAATTGCTTCCGTTGGAAAACGTTTGCCGCATTCTTCACATCGATACGGCAAAGCACCGAAGTGATAAATTTTATTGTGTTGCTTCAAATAGCAATGACTCGAGAATATTTTATCGCACGGCAGACACTTAAAGCGACCATCAGGTAGTTCAACATTTCTGGCTTTAATTTTTGAACTGGAAACTTTGCTATGCTCATCTCTTTTACGTTTCCGTGCACTTATTGAAACGCCTTTTATTTTCGGTTCTTCCTTTACAATGGTTTCGGTAAAACTGCAATTATATAATTAATTCATATTGAATTAAATGCTTTTTTTTCTTTTCATCATTTACTTGTTTAATAAGTCAGCCTCCGTGCAAGTTTCCTCAGCGGTTGCACCGTTATAGCACCTACTACTTCCATTAATTATTTAATAAATGGATTTGGCGAGGAGTTAATCTCTTTAGCACTTACCCCATAAAGAATTCGGTTTCTGTATTAACGACATCAGCGGCTTCAATGCTAGGGTAATTACTTAATTAAATCACTAGTTAACCGAATTGGAATTTAATCGATTTGTAGCACTTACTTCATTAATAGTTCATTGCTAGCACAAGATTCTTCAATGACTCCAAGGTTACTGCAATTAGTCAAGCAATTGATTAAATAAAAATTATGCTTAATTGTTTTTTAATTATTTACTTAATTACGAATTCGTCTTTTACGGATTTCTGATTGCCAATTTCCGTAATACTGCAAACGTTTCAATTAACATATTAAACTTGCATTAGTTTCTCAACTTTCAGCACTTACTTGCTAAAGTCTCCATCTGTCCGATTTGCATTTAGCCCAATTTGATCCGATTGAGAAATAAATTGTATTTCATCGTTAAGATCTTGCAATTCCTGCTGACTAGCATGATATTGTTCCGCCAAAACTTTTATTCTGCGAAAATGAAAGGGCGTAAAATTTGATTTTCGAAGAAAATTTGAAAATTTCATTTTATTTTATATTTTCTTTTTTTTCCGAATTGGAGGCCTTTCACTTACGTTCTAATCATTTCAATATTATGACTGCGTAGTGTTTGGTTCTCTTCATTATTTTTGTTTAAGGCTTCTGTAATTTCCTTCAAGGACTTCAAGGATCTTTCAAATCTCAATTGACTTTCCCATCGCTTATCGTCGGCTTCTTCGAGTTTGCGCATGCATTCACTTTTAATTGATGTTACTAATATCTGTTGATCCCGGCACATTTTCATCACTTTATCCCTGCATATGACAAACAGCGATTTTAATATTTTTACTTTTCCAAATTTCTTACCGACTTTATTTCCAAAATTTTATTATGTTCTCTCATTATCGCTTCGCAATTGTTCGCCTGTGCTTTCAATGTGCGTTCCAGAAATTGATTCTTACGTTCAGCTTCAACACATTTACCCAGCAATAAACGTAATTTGTCCTCTGGCGTTTCAACACCATGTAAAAGTTCTAAAATCTGAAAAAGTAAAAAAAAATTGAATTAATTGATTCCCAATGCAACGCAAAAATTTCAAGCTACTCGTTCTGCTATTTTTTGCTCTATTAATATTTCCTCTATTGTTTCTGTATTATTATCAATATCCATTTTTAAGGAATTAAAACAAATTAAAACTGTTTTTCGTATAAAGACGATAATTTCTTTTATATATTGATTTAGATAGATTGAGCGAATAAAAACGATGTGAAGTGTTTAATGAAATGTTTATACTATATCTTTTTTTGTTTTCTTTTAATAAATTACGAAACAGGGCTCTCAGTGTTTACATATTCCAGCTGCTATTTTTCGCTCAAAATGCAAACATAAATTGCATATACTTTCACGACAAATATCATTTTTATCTATATTTTTATTAGTAGAGCACTCTGTGTTCACACTATACACTTACTCCAATGTTTTGCTCTTAATAAGCATTTAGCCACCCTGTATTACTGGTCGAAATACAACTCTAATCCCAATTCAATTTCATTCTTTCCATGTCTACAAAGTTCGTAACATATTTATGCATATTTGCTAAACAAACAAGTTTCAATTTGCTAATTAGATGGGGTTCACCTTATGGTAAAATAATGAAATCTTAAATGGCATAGTCTCACCGCAACTTCACACTGATTAACCGCTACGTCTAAGAATATACGTAAGAAATAGGATATGTTATAAAAGCACGTTAAGCGCTAAAAATGTCGCAAATTGAGAGCTATCTTTTGAGTCAACAAAGGCGTTTTTAGGTTTTGGGCTTTTGTTATCACATCCTAAGGGTGCAGCGTGCTGATGGCAGAGCTGAAGGTGTCAAAAAGATTGTAAGTCTTAGTCTTTAACAGTTGCAGAAACTTAAACGTATGGTAGACCGTATAAAACGCTTTCAAGTATTGAACTCGCAGATTTTCGCTATACTGAACAAATATCTGAAAGGTAGTGACTTTGAAGGATCCAACTTGGAGCATGTACTGTGCTTCTCACCGCCACAATATCTCTTCATTAAAAAACGAACTGTAATACATTGCTTTTTATACTTTGTTATTATTTAATAATTATAATAAATAAAAATAATTATTAAACAAATACAGTCATTGCAATCTTAAATATTCGAAATTATTCGATTTCTCTTTGGTGCACCCAACAGAGGCCTCTTACTAAGATATTATTGATTATTCTAGAAAGAAGGAACAAGTTTTTAGACAATTGTTAGTCGACTTTTTTTAAATTATAAATCATAAGCATTGAAATTTATATATGAACAGTCAGGCTAGATTTCCTGAGGGCAAATAAGTACCGTCGTCAGAGTTTATACATCAATTTTTTTCATTTCATTCTTTAAACTTTCGGGTTTGGTTTTGTGTAAGGGGTGTAGTTTTTGATGTTGAATTCCAAAATTTTTTAAAGTGTTTAGAAGTGTTTAAGACTGTTTAAAAACCATGGGGAAAAAATTCATGCAAAATGTGGTTGCTGGAATGGAAGAAGAATCGCGATAAACGATAAAAATGTTGCAAAAAGCAATGCCGACGCTTCATCGTAAAAACTTCAATAGAAATTTGAATATTTAAGAAACCAATTGGCATATCTGACCGGGGAAGTATTTGAATATATGAACTGAAATAAATTTATAAGGATTAAAAAGCGGTTTTTTTCTAATTGCTTAACACTAATGATTCGCACAAAACTTAGAACATTTTTGCGCACCACTTCGCACTGATCCTTACTCTTCCACTGTTTAAAAAAGGAAGAAAAGTTTTAAAAAGGCCTACTTAAAAGCCTGTCTTTTCTCTCACGCTTAAAGAAAGAATTCAAATCTTTAGCTATTTTTTAACTGAAGGTTTTTAAACTTCTTTCTAGGTATATTTTTTTCTTTTGCTTACAACCGCGTAACTTGAAATTAGGTTTTGGACCGTAGTGGAATAAAACTAAATTTAACATCCACAAGAATAATGCGTAACTGACGGCAACTCTGCTTTCAAATGAAAAACTGGTTGAAGAAGAAAATTTGATATTTTCCACCAAATACGGCAAAAACAAGGAAAATAATAAATTGAACAATTAACAGAAGAGATCCATCTGTCAGTAATAAGAGAAGAAGGCAATTCAAATTAATTAATTTTCAGAAAATAAATTATTTGAATAATGGAAAAAGCTAAAAATAAACGTGAAGCCAAAGAGGAAAAATTGAAAGAACAAAAAATTGAAGAGCAGGTAAGCGAAAAGGATGCTAGAAGGAGACATCAATTGAAACGAACGAGAACTAATAATTTAGGTCATATATGTTGGCAATTTCGCTATTTTTTTTTATAAATATATGATAAGATGATGAAACTCTTAGAAGAACTCAAGAGTCCGGAAGATAAGTTACGTTTATTGTTGACCAAATATGTTGAAACTGAACTCAAAAACCGGCGTTTAGGACAGGATCTGAAAACACATGAGAAACAACTAGAAGCGGTGGTTAGAGAAAAGGAAAACTTACAAAGGGATTATAATAAAAATTTACTTATGAGGTAAGTTTGAAAGAGGAAATACTTGAAAGGAAACGAAATCGCAAATAATATTATATATATATTTTCAGAGATAAATTAACTGAAGTATGTCGAGAACAACAAAAGTTAATAAAATCGGTAAAAAATGAAAGTATGCAAAAGATTCGCGAAGAGGAAGAGAAACGCAAGGAAAACCAATCGAAATTTCAAAGTTCTTTGAACGAAATTACCCAATCGTTGAGCAAAAACAATGAAGAAAATAATAAATTACGTGATCATAATATTGAAATGACCAAGAAGTAAGTAAAAAACTAAGTAACAAAAGTGAGGTTATTTAACTTAAAGCAAACAGTACAAAACAAATAATACACACGTCCACAGTCTAGATAAATGTTTGCAAAAGTGAAAAAACATTAAATGATACATTTGGACATATTTATAATTGTAGAGACGGGAACTGCTCATAGATGTAAAAGAACGAAGGCAGGCTTCAAGAGTTCATATTGAATTTTTATTATTATTTTATATATATATGAGTATGCTCGCCATTCTTAATTATAAATAATCTAAATTAGCAATGAATAGATTGAAGTCATGGTATTTTTCCAAAATTAACTTTAAAGGCAATAATTTTTAGAAGAGACAACCGTTTTATTCAGTACTTTTTATATTGACTTCTGAAGAAGATGTTAAATTTCGTTTCATCTATTATGAGATGTGTTAGTTACGACTTGGAGCGTCTAAGATATGTGGTATGTGATAATCCTCTATTTATCTTTTATCTCTTAAATGCTAGATATTCTCACTGTTGCATTGGATTTGCAGGGTTAAAGTTAGATCAGGAAGGACTTGCATAACAACATTAATTAAAAGCGATCAATTGGATCGCGTTGGCCCAACTTCAAAAATGATCGAAATTAAAAACATTCCATAGAAAATTAGTAAACCAAGAAACGTTTATCGACTTTTTATTATTAAACACAAATCTTGCAATTCTCTTAATAGCTTTTACGTCATAGGTCGTTACTCGAAATTGTTATATATATTATTATCTGTAAATGGTGATTACATTAGGTTGTTTTATTATGAACTAAATTTATTATTTATTATTTACAGATTAAAATTTCTGGCTGAACAGTATCAGGCTCGGGAACAACAATTGGAGAAACTTAATGAACAAGTGCAACTTGAATCGCAATTGCATCAGGCGAAATTGAATAAAGTTCAAGTCGAGGCAGCCATGGAGAAAGAGATACTAATCAAGTAAGATTTGACGTGACAAGATATAAACTACTACAAGCTTTTGCTATTATTGATAGCCCCCATTGATCGAGTTTTTAGTAATATCATACATTCCAAATCTATATTCGCTGCATAGATCGTAAGTTGCATATTTTTGCTTATTACGAAGAGGATTATGCCATTTTTATAGTGCAAACTACTTGTGACGCAGGGGTATATTAAGTTTGTGCGGATGCATACAATGCTCAGAAGAACTTTCAGATAGACCCATCTTTTAACTTACCAATCGAGTTTGCCACGATCTAGGCTTGTCTGTCCGTCTGTCTGTCTTTCGCTCCCCTGTTCAATGTACAGGTTGTAATCTTTCAGATATTTTGATGAAATTTTATACATTGGCTTGTTTTGGTTAAAGGACGAACGAATTGGACCACTTTTTCCATCACTCCTCATGGAAAGGCGTAACTTTGATAAATCGTTATAAGAAGAAGTGTAGGGCATTTAATGGTGGGCCACGTCCCACAAAATTTATACCAAAAAAATTTACGCCAAAAAAACTTGCACCAAAAAAACTTAAAAAAAAAAATTAAGAATTCACTATGCTGTTTCCACTTGTTTATATTGGCTACCTTTATTAATTATAAAATTTATTCAAAATTTGATTAAAAATGCTCCCTTTATTTCTAATTTTTTTTTTTTTTTTACAAAAATTTTATGAAAATCTTTTATAATTAATTATTTTTGCTTTAGAGAAAAACAAATTGCTTTAGAGAAATTAATGCAAACGCAGAAAATGCTTCAAGAGTTAACGGAACGTGAACAAGCCTTAAAGGAACAACTGAGTTTGTATACTGCCAAATATGACGATTTTCAAAATTCTTTACAAAAATCAAATGATATATTTGCCACTTATAAATTGGAATTGGAAAAGGTATTAATGGAAAATTACAATTTTATCAAAATGATGAAATTAAATATTAAAAAAAAAATTCTTTTTTCTTCTTCTTGATCTTTTTATTTGTTCGTTAAAGATGAGCAAAAACACTCGTAAAATAGAAAAAGAATCTTTAGAATGGAAACGTAAATGGGAGAAAAGTAATGCTACACTTATCGAATTAGCCACGGAGAAGAAAGAACGTGACGAGCATGCCTTGCGTTGTAATAAGCAAGTAGAGCAATTGCAAAAATTGCTAAGAGCTTTGCAAAACGAACGCAATCATTTGTATAAAGTGATTAAGGAGCATAATGTAGATGTGCCGCCGTTACCTGTCTTGCCGCCCGAACCGGAGCCTCTGAAGGTTACACCGATTAATGCGGCCGATAAAGATAAAATGGAGGTGATGTCTCGCAATTGTGCTGAACTAAAGATGACTTTGGCCAATTTACAAAATCAAATGAAATATTTGAATATGAAAGGTGCTGAGGCCGAGGAGCAATGTCGTCAATTGCAAGCGCAAGAGGAAGCGATTAAAAAAAAGCAAAAGAAAAAAACAAAATCTAAGAAAAATGCAATTGTAACCGCAGCCACAGAAGTTTCCACAACATCCAATATTAAAGAATTATCACCGACTAACTCAGAGAAGTCTTCCGCCACCAAAAAGGATTTTGACGATAGTGTTAATGAAAGTGCTTCCCAAGAATTGTTATTGAGCGAAGATTTTAAAGATGTAATGGCTTCAGAAGTGTCGAAGGAAGAAGCAGAAATGCCTGCATTTAATATGTCCGATAATTTGGCGGCGAATCTTTGCGTAGTTACGGAACCGGTGCCAAATTAAATTACCGTTATCATTATCGATTTCCTTCGTTTACAACGATATTGTATCATTTTTTAGATATAAAAAAAAGCTTCGACTATTCTTTCTCTTATAAATCATATTTTGATAAATTAAATACTTTCATAATTCTTTAAAAATTATTTAGTTTTAGTTTTTTCTTTTTCTTTTTATTATTATTATTATTTTTTTTTTTGTTATTTATTTATTTTTCTCTTCATAACTCTTAATAAAGGAACGAGATTTTAAAAAATATGAAATAATTTAATTTAAGATTAAAATGAGCGAGTTGTTCTTTCCTGCAAATTGATGCGATCCTTAATTATGAATGAT